TAAACAAGATTTTCTTGAAAACGCAGTACTTTTCAAAATACAATATATTTCCTAAGCAAAAAAATAAAAAAATATTTGTTTATTTCTACAAAAGTTTTTTTTTTTTTGTAAAATATGACAAATTATGTTTTTTATTTTATTATGATGTTTATTTATTTGTAGAAATAGCTTTTATAAAAGCTATGGCTATTTATTTGTGAAATTGTTTGCTTTTAGAATGATATTTTCAAACTAACGTAAATAGTTGTAAACGATCTCCAGGAAGCAATTTTATAAGTACTATTAGAGTTTGTTCTATGTATTTCATCAGTATCCTTTAAGTAACCTATTGCACCGAATAGTTGTTAAATTGTTTTACAAAATCCATTTAATTGTTGGTGCCGTTCTAACATAGATTCTTGTAACACTTAAGAATCATAAATCACTAAGCATCGACTAAATGACAACTTAATGGTATTGCAATAGTGCTAAAATTAATTGTCCTTCAGGAAATAACAATATTTTTTTATAAGCAGCTAACCAATCAAACATTTAATTGTGCTGAAAAATCGCGCAACAGATTATAGTGTGAATGAATTCTTTTTAATTTATCAAAAACTATACACCTTTGTACCGAAATAGAAGATATATGTATACGTATATTTCGTACGAGAATATCGGAAAACTATTGATTATTAAATAATAAATGCATGAGCTATTGGATCATGACTTTTTACTAAAAGAAAAAACATACAATGCATAGAACTTCATGCTATGTCAAGACTTTATTTTCAGAAAAAGGTTTCGTTTTGAGTGTATAGACCAAATGGTTGTATTTTCCATTTTCGAAAGGTTAACGTTTAAATTTCCAAAGGGTCGAATTTGGTGTTCGGAAGTCGAATAAAACATCGAGACCAATACTACAAAAGAGTCGTCAAGTTGCAGGTGTCCGGTTTTCTCACATTTATCTTTTATTCGAAGCTCATATTGGATCTCTATCATGCCGATATTTCCTCTTTTACTCTTTTTTACTAAGCCAATATTAATTTTTTGTACGAAAATGTTGTGATCTTTATAAATAACACGGTTCTCGGGACATGAACAAAAACATCTGTTATATTATTAACTTTTTAACTTTTCTCGTCGTTCACCCTCAACTGCCTGGTTCATTGGTCCAAAGATAACAAACTTTGTGATGGCTTCTGTATAATATTACTCGAAAAACTAAAGACATATCAGCCGCTACATCAGCAACTTTTATCCTATATCAAAACCCTGTCTAAGAGGGTCCTGAATTATATAAATGTTAGAAGCCGAGATTTGAGTTCAGTCATTCTCCGTAGTGAAGTTTTTTATAAATCTTTTTACGTTCATAAGCAAATGACTTTGTTCTACTCTGGTTTTTCTTTTTCACGCATTTATTTTTTATACTCGTCTAAATCTTAACTCTTAATTTATAAGATTTTTGTGGAATATTACTGTCGTAGTTTGATAGCATGTACGATTTGAACCAAATAAGATTTTTAGAATTTTTCAAAACGTAGACGATTATTGTACTTCAATGTTATGCTCTTTCTGTCTACAAATTTAATACACGTCAAAAGAAACTAAGTTTGTTTTTATTCTTGATAAAAGTAGTTGCTAGTAGATTTTCAACGCGTCAAAGGGTTTTTATGTTGCCCCTTGTTTTCCAATAAATTTTTTTTTATACACCCTGAAAGAATTACTACTTCCCCGGGGCCCAGTAAGCACCTTTAAACATTTTGAAGTTGGAAAACACTGTACAAGAGCAGGGTTTTTTTTAAATGTTTGCATAATGTTTACTGATTATTTTGAAATAAGAAAACATTGCTCTCCAAACTGTAGTTACGCCGTTATTTTTCGATATTCATAATATCATAATTTACCAAACAATTCATGCGGATATAAAGCAGTATTTTTTAATAAATTCGGGTCGTTTGATTTTAACACTACGTTATGTGCTCAATCGGATTTTTCAATTCAATTATTTGCTGTAGTATATCATTATTTTTCAATACTCTTGAACATTCAGCTTCAGTGAATTGCACATTAATATAATTAAGCAGATGTTAAAATTAATTAGTTCACGAAATATTTATGCTACACGAATAATGCTCTTTGAATTTACATTGTCGTTTTCACTCTAATTTAATATGAATAGAAAAACGTCATTGCTTTATATTCACAGTGCATGTATAACTATTTTTTTTGCCTACCAGTAGTAATTAATCAACTTCGTTGTTCCGAGATCAAGAGTAATTACATTTTTTTATACGTTTGTTATATTTATATGTTTACATTATTAGTATTTAAGTTGAAATAAATTATTAGAGAAATTTAACATTTGTGACAGTTTTCTTTTGTTTGTTCCAATATTTTAATTAAATTTTAGTGAATTTTTCCACTTATGTCAACATACATTTTATTTCTTGATTAATTTTTGATTTGATCAAGTAATTTTTAATCAATACGTTATTAATGAGTTTATTCGAGTTTTGTTATAGTTGTCGTTTTAAAATAAGTTTAGCAATTATGTTCTCGTGCAATTGAAACAATACTGCTTTTGTCTTAAATAACCTTGTGCGGTGAAGAATTCGTCCACACTCTTAATACGACGACATTGCTTCCTTTCAGAATTCATTAAATGATGACAATACAACGGGCATTGCGACCCCTTTGCCTTTAAGAGGAAGGAGGCGAGAGTAAGTGATAGTTTCCTCCTCGTGTTCCGGTGCTTTTAACTTTAGATGTACACACACACCCACACAAACTCACGTACACAGACGTAACCCCACGGCATTCTCGTATTTATATTGTATAAGTATAAGAGGCAGGCCCGTGAAAATCGATCAATGGTCTGGCGAACAGAAGAAAAAAATGCTTTACTGCTTTTCTAATTGAACACGTACACGACTATCTCTCGGTCTATCATTATTATTGTTATTATTTTGAAAGTATTTATCTGTGCCAAGTCGTTTTATCGTAATTATGGGCTTTGAAAAGGGATCGCAATGGTTCGATTTTAATAGTTATAATAACTGATATCTTTGTAAATTTTGGATGATTCGGAAGGAGAAAAGCATTATATGTATCAATTTTATGACAAATGTGAGACAACAAAATCAAGGAAAATTGTTTCTGGCTAGTCCGCGAGTATATACAAACTCCAGTTTAATTTAATTAAACTTTTTACTTTTTAATTAAACAATATGCATATAACAACGTGGGAACTCTCTTAATTGCTACCATCCACTCTGATCATTGGCGTGGTTCATTTAGAAATCGCAAATGAAGATGAACTTTGCATAGATAAAGAGAATTGAAAATTAAAAAACGCGGCCCAGCAATTTTGTTTAAAAAGTTTTTTGATAAAACAATGGAAAATATTTCTTTTATCAACAGTTTTTTTTATGTTTATTGTTTTTATAGTCTTCGTGTTTTATGACTATGTATACAACTTAGATGATTTGTATTTGCACTAAGAAGTAGTTTTTAAGGATAATTATCATGCCTTTATTACATTAAAAGTATAAAAGATTATAATTTCCAAATTTGTCTTTTAATTAAAAATTTTCAGTTTTTAATTCTTAAATAAAATTATTCAATCAATCATTTAAGAAATTTGTTTTTTCAATATTTTTTTGTTTTGGTGTTCTAACGATAGTGAATTACAAAAAAACAATCTTATTGAAAAATGGTTTTGTTATAAAATGGCAAAAAAAAAAAACTTTGTAATGGTCTGTATAAAAGTAAAGAATTTACAACGTAAGGCTTAAAAGTTTGGCGTAGGTTTATGATACGGTCACTTGGGGAGTGATACAAGACACTAAAAGTAGGTATGGTACTGCACTATACACAGTGACTACTACTGTCACTATGTTAAAGTGGATATTTTATTACTTTTACCCTTTTTGCTTAAAATTTACACAAATAAAAAATATTTATTTCAAGTTACAATGTATAACTAATGGTTGAGTTTATGCGATATTACATTTTTTGGCTGGACTAGTAAGCTATTAAAGTCTTGGCAATATTTTTTTACTTCATTACAAACAGGAGTTTCAACTATCTAGGTAGCTGTCTAATTTTTCATATAAATGCAAATACAACCATTTTCTTCGATAATAGTATAATTTTTCACTTTGCGCAACTTTGTAAAAGTAAAACATGTACAAAGTATTTGTACGTGTTGAAAATTAAGTTTAACTTTTACCACAAACATATAAAAATATAAGAACTTTTTTTTCAATTATTTTAAAAACATATTGCAGTAGTGAAAATTTGATAATATTTGGGAATCTATTTTTGCCTTTAATACTTTGTTAAAGCAGAATTAAATTAAGTGCCTCAATCCTTTGTGGTTTTAAATTTCTTTTAAGCTGATAAGATTTTCATCTTGACACATTTAAACGCAAGGACACCAACAAATATTTCGTGTTGGTTATAATATCGACAATAAAGCTCTCTAATGTATCATGTGAAATATTAACAAAATGTACATTTTATAGGTAAAACTCTATTTTATAGACCAATTCAGCATAAAAATTCAGTGGACTCAAATCATTGTTTTATAAACATTGATCCTTATTAAAAACTTTCAAACGTTTCCATAAAAAACTACCAAATTTTTTTGACAGATACAGTTATTTAATAATTATAGATATTGAAATGGGATTTGATTTAAATTTTGGGGTAATCGAGCAAACTGTTCATGAAATATGTAAATGTTTATACTTTGAGAGTTTCATAACAAAAAACGTATTTTTGTATTTATTGTCTAATAAATTTTGATTAAAATGTCAATTATTACATAGTGTCTATTTCTATTCGCGTAAAAGCTTTTGAAACCTATACATTTTAGTAATAATTCGTATATAAAACAATCTGAAGATGGTATTTAAAAATGACTTCTTTGGTATTTGTAACATATGAACAATATTTTATGTTTTATACCTATAAATGTGTATTTTACTTATAATGATGGTTTTTTTGTGTTCTAGAAGGTTGTCCTTCTCCCGGTTTTACTTTGAACGGCACTATTGTAGTGCCTCGATCCGGCATATCGCCAGATTTTTCATCGTTGTCTGAAGTGAAGTTTCCCGCACATTTACCATCCCCTTCACCTGTAAACGATGAAAAAGCTATAGTGCCATCAAGTGATGCTCCGTCCAGAGTCTGTAAAATAAAGTGTATAGCAGGTCAATGGGTTGGTCCTTTGTGCCAAGGTTTGTTATTGTCACTAATTTGTCTATCAAATAAGTTTAAAACAGTAATAAAAGTGTTATTTGAATAAAAAAGCGAGTTTTAAAATTTGTCTTTTTTTTTGTTTTTGAAAATTAAGTCTAGGATATTTTTATTTTACGCCAAGGAGTCTCTTATTTTATTTGCATAAATATTTCCTAATCAAAAAAGAATTTTCAAAGGTATGTTAGTACAATATCACAGGCAGATTAGTTATAGTTAATATTAGTGATGTCCTGAGTAGTAAATATGTACTAACCGAGTACCGAATAGAATTCAGGTAGACAAATTTTCAGCTTTAATGAAATAAAAAAGTTAAAATATTAAATTTCTAACTATCTTGTTTATTTAAATTAAAGCTACAATACAGGCATAAGGTGTAAATATGAAACCTCCCCATATATAGATTTTACTCTCCTAAAAATTGAAAAAATTATGCGTATTAAAAAAAAAAATGAAGTTAGATAAAAATAACATTTGACCCTCTCCAACATTTTTCCACCTTGTATACGTATGTCAATTTTCCATTATAAAATATTCATTTAGATAATTAAAAAAAATAACTTTATAAGTTAAAATCTTTTAAGTATCGATTGAAATAATAGTTGTATTGTGATAAAAAATACTTATTGAATCTCATTAAAATTATCGAATTAAAAAAACATCTTAATTATTTCATAATAATATGATGGCATAAAGTATGCCTTGAAAGATTTCTTCTCTTTTTTCATTCATATTTTTATTAATGACAACACAACACTACTTATGATTGGCTATATGCGCTGAGTGACTACAAGAAAATAAGTATACGCAGATGTAATACATATAGTTTTTGCAGTGTGTTATATAACCGGTTATTGATATACATAAATAATCTTTGTAATTTTGGAAAGTAAAATAACTAGCATTTTTATTTACTCAATTATTGTAACTCAAAATATTGTAAATATGATAATAATAACGAGCTAGGACTGTAAACTACAATTAAAAATATTTTCATATAATATAATAATTTTTTAAAGCAAGGCTGGGAAAAATACTGAGTGCCTAGTAAACGACGGGTACAAAAATTCTTACTAACCGAGTACCGAGTAAAAGCAGAATCATAAAAAAGAAAACATCTCTAGTAAATATATTTAAAATCTTAAAGGATTTTCTTATAGTATGACCATTTTATAGTAGTTTATTTAATTAAATATCTATAGAACAAGTTAATATTTTGAGGTGTAATTTTTAAATAAAATTGTATATTGAGGTTTTTTCAAATATATTCATTACATTGTATTAATATTATTATTTTTTAAGTACCTTTATATGTGACCTATATTTAATTTTACCAATAATATTACTGTAAGAGTAATTTTTATATTATAGAGTTATGCAACGTTCAATTATTCTGCATGACTCTTGTTTGAAAAATTTTTTTGTCATCTGTCCTCTAAATGACATATGTTTTCAAGTAGTACTATATATTTACGCATCAAGTAATGCGGAAATATAATGCGACACTATAACGTATAATTCCTGTTATATAAAAAAATTACTGCATGAACAATAAGTAAATCTAGTATGAAATAAAACAATATTTCATTAAATGTTTAAATTTTAAAGTATATTAAAAGTTTTGATAAAAAGTACAATTTTTCTGTACAATGCATTTCAGTAATAATCATAGTGCTGTTATATGGTTATTTGAATATTTTAGTATTATTTTGAATTTTTATTATTAAGAGAAGAAATTTTCTTAACAGTGTTAAATTAAAAGTGATAAAATGTAAATGAGTGTAATCTTATACCAATAGAGGTTTATACATAAGGTCTTGAGTGAAATATTTTTACTTCAAGCGTTGATTTTCCAATATAATGGTATATTGAATGTATAAAATCTTTAAATATTAGACCATATTATTTAAATTTTCTATGTTATCGTTTCATATCTCAAACAACTCCCATATCCCTCGTTTAGAACTTAGTTGTTATCTATGAAAACTCTAGTAGGATAAGAGAAAATTTACATTAAAGAAAAGATAAGAAAAATGTCAAGTTTATTATTTTTTATTTATTATTTTAGTTAACTATTGAAATATGGTTTAGTATTTTGAAGATAAACTTTATTTATGATTATTAGCTATAAAAGTTTTATGTGTTCATAATTTAATAAATATAACAACTGTTTTATTAAAATAAAAAATATATTGACTTTACGAGCCTATGTTAATCACTTTATGGAAAGTAAACGTACCCTCGATTATTGCAATTGCATTATATTTGCTAATTCATAAACATGAGATGTATGCATCAGTTTTGTGTATACACACATAAAAATTGTATCATTTTAAACAACTGAAATCAAATTTTAAATAATAAATTTATTCATTTTACTTATTGAGTACATCAACTTGAGTACATGGCAAGAATACAAGTTATAACTGATTTCCAAAAAGAACAGATTCCTGAAACGAGTTCTTTTTGTAGAAACAAAACTAGGAAGTTTACCTTAAAAGATTAGGAAAGAGGAACATGAATGGACTCATTTCTATGAGGAACATAAGTGAAATTTACATTTCCTAAAAATTTAACGATTAAAAATTTTTTTTTTTTGTTTCCAAGTAGTTTCTTATTAATGTTATTGTACGTTGACTATTAACATTATTTTATTGCATTAAAATCTAACGATTCTACTCTAATATATTATCAATATTTTATGATTTCAAAACAGGTTTTTAGATATTTTTTTAACAATAAAGGAACAAAAAGGGCAAATTTTGCTTTTATGCATAAATGCATCAAAGTCATGCATTTATAGATTATATAAAATTACAATTTTTTTTAATGTTCGTTATTTACAAAACTTTTATTTTTTAGAATCAAACGGCGATGGAAGATTTCAACCAATACTTAAATCGTGCATACTTGATGAATTACCACCAAATGTCATATTATCCTTTAAGAATCAAATAATTCTGGTGAGTATAATTTTTAAATAATTTTTTTAGATTGCTAGCTGTGTTATGCTTAAAGTAATAGAAATAATAAATTGTGTGATTATTAGTTTTTGGTGAGTTTAAATAACAAAAAATAAAATTTTTAGCGGTATCAAAAAATTGATGAATAGGAGATGAAAAAAAGAGGAGACACACAAATACTTCATAGTAAAATCAATACATTCGTATCCAAGCTAAAATGAATTAAAATAATAAATTGTTACAACTAAATTTATTGTTCATAGTATTGAACTTCATTAGTGGGTTATTTACCGTATATTTTTGCTTTTTGGTAATTGATTGCATTAAATTACATTATGTACAATAGGAGTTATGCTGTAAACAAATTCCATTACAAAAACAATAAAATAAAAAATAAAAACTTATCATCACAGTACTTTAGAATAACTCTCTTTATGGCAAAAATTTATATAATATTGGAGTAATGAGAATTTAATTGAATTTATTAAATTCTATCTATTAATTACTTTGATTGTATCAAGGTAATCAAGTTAAATTATTATCAAATCAATAATAATTTGATGTGGACAAAGTTTTATGATGGCTTGTGTAATTATATTAATCTTAAGTACAAATAGTATTTAGAGACAAAAATTTGTGTTGAGCCGTACATTTATCAAAAAGTTAAAGCAATTTAAAGTAAAAAACATAAAATCGAAAATTTTAACACAAAAATAGCATATTATTAATTAAGGCAGCCAATTGTACATAAAATATAAGACGTCAGAACAAATTTTTTTATTTTTAATTGATAGTTCGTAAAATAATCTTTAATTTACACATATTTAAAGGACACAGTATTTCCGGAACATTTTCAAAAATTAAATTGAAAAATTAACTTTTGTCAAAAAATTTCTATTTTGAATCCGTCCCTGTGGGCAGCTAAAGGGTCAAGTTTTAAATGTATTATATCAAATTAAAGGGAACTATCTAAGGTATCTATATGAAAAAAAATTATTTTGACTTGTTCATTTTTAAAAAAGTGGTTTAAAAAAAAAAATTAAAAAATATCATAATTTACCAATTTAAAAAATTGTATTTTTTTTAAAATTGAAATTGAAGATTTCCCCCATTTGTAAGCAACGAGGGAAGTTTTTTAATTTTTAAGGGCAATGTATTCAATTAAATGTATTTTATGATCTTTTGACTTATCGTTTATAAAAATTGGTTCGATGAGAACTAAGAAAAAGTGGTGTCAGACATAAAAAAAATACAACATAGTTAAATTAATGCCTTCTCAGCTTCGTATCGAAGTTAAAAAATAATAACAGTAATAGTAAAAAATAAAAATATTTGCTGAATCAAATGCTATTAAAAATGTCAAAATCTCGCCAGATACGTTATATATGGATATGTAAAATAGGGACCGGTTCAAATAAAAAAAATGAACCAAGTCTAATCCGATCCTATCAAATAATAAAATTATTATAATTGTAACTAAAAGGTTTTAATTTTTTATTTTTATTCATTAGTTATTATTTTCAAAGAAAATAATGATCTGTGTTATTTATCTTTTTTTTTAGTATTGATGCAAAGCTTCAATGGACTACGTTAAAAATATATTTTTTATTATTTATTTCTTATAATAAAAAGTAATTAAAAAAATTTTTTTTGCCATTTTTAGCTATTTAATTATAAAAAATTGTTAATGGATTAATGATAATTTTAGGATAAGTACGTATTGAGTTACAAGCATTTTAATACATTGAGTGGATGTAACCCAACACAACACGAGTATGCATTATAAATAGTATGAGCTGTACTCAACGTGCACTACTCACTTTTTCCATGTATTAAAATGCTTATTCAAAAATTATCATTAATCTACTATAATTTTTTGTAAGAAAAAAATTAAAACATGGCTGTTTTAAATAAAAAAAGAAAAATATGTATACATTAATATATTTGATTAAAAATTTTTTTTGTTATTGACAAACATTGAAAAATATGTATATAACGTAATTCAACACTGTAAAAATTATTTAAAAAATAAAAGTACAAAATAATTTGCTGGATTGAAAGTTATTAAGAATGTCAAAACATGGTGGGACACTTTGTATATCAAGCTTTTATATGCTAAGAGTGAGTTGTTATGTTATGATTTTTCTATTATATTATTAAAAAAAATATTAAAGAAGTGTAATTTTTGTTAAAAAATATTGCTATACAGTTTTAGGAATTACCAGAATAAAAAAAATTATAAATTAAATGCCATTTTATGCAATTTTATTACTCTTTTTGAAAACGTCCTAGCTATGTTTTTTTTTATATTTATCTGTTCTTCGGTTTTTGTAAATATGCCAACTGCATGAAATAAATCATACTAATTTATTTGAGTTGATGCGAAAATGCAATTTTTTTTCTTACATTTACATTGGTCTTATGGGGCGTTTTAAACATTTTAAACTGTTTATTTCTGTTTTAAACAGATTTTTTTTAAAAAACATGTTTTCACAATCCTGCCCCATGTTATTGTAAAAATTTATGCCGTTATTCCTAACTAATGTTTCAACACGAAATTTATTAAATCAATTTTGTTTTTGATAATTAAACGTACAAGCTTACTAATAGGTTTCTTTATTAACACCTTGATTAAAATGTCGGTCATTACACTATTCTAGATAAATGTCTAATTATTTTAACAAAATTAAAAATTATTAACTAATACGTTGAATTCAATATTTTTGATGTGTTTAATGTGTGGAGAAATTCGCTGATTTTTTTATTTTAATTATTATATGTCTGTATTTAATTTAGATTTAATGTTTTTATATTTAAAAAAATGACTTATTAAAAATTGCCTAAAAGTAAAATTCAAATTCTTCATTTAGAACTACCATCTATACGTGTTGAATAACAAATAAGTTAATAACGCTAATTGCATTGAAAAACTTAAAAAATATGTTATTTAGCTGGATAGAAATAAGAAATAATTACAATAAATATTCAAAATTAACAAATAAAATTCATTGAAGGAAAATCATTAAAACTTATTCGTGATGAATAATATGAATCATAAAGTCAAAACACTTGAGTTGTGGGCGACACGAAGCGCTTACACACCAGTCCTATAAAACAATAGTATTTTTTAACACATAAGAGTAATAAAAGAAAAGACGTGCCTACAGATAGTCACTATGGAAGACGAAGACGAGGTAGCCTGTTGATATTGCAGTGATCGCGGCACATGAATTTACTCAGAGACAATATACTTTTTTTCCATCTAGTGGTTCCTAGTAGAAATTTTTTTTATTGACAAGACCAATTGTTAAATGACTTACAATATGTTCTTTACATAATCGAGTAAAAAATCATCATTGAACACCTCGAAGCGAAACATTTTTAGGGGCCGCAAAAGTATTCTTTTGCGATCCCGCCATTTTGTCAGGGTCCTGTTTAGTATTAAGTTTTTTTTTCCTACAGCAGTCTGATCAATATTAATATAAGTAACGACATGTTTAATGCGCTGAATAGTTCGAAAAGTCATTAACAATTAAAAGTTGTACGAGTACTTTGTTAACGAGAATAATCGTATGATACAAATAAAAGTTTGTATAAGCCTAAAACGATATGGTAATGAAATATATACACAGGCCATTTGCGCGGTTTTAAAGTAGACCAGGTACACATCATTGATGAATAAGCACCTGCAGATGTTGCAGCTTCCAAGAAATTAGATTATTTTATTACCCAAAATTAGATTACAAACGTAATCATTTATTTCGACCTATTTGTTTTCGGATGCTTTTTATTTTTATGGAGTTTTTACGATAACTCATTTCCACCCTATTCTTATAATATGCCCTTTCGTCTTCTTTCACTCCCTGTTCTTACGTCGTTATGACTTTTTTTATGATTGCTTTATATCCGTCGGATGGTGTATTATATTTGAATTTATTACAAAACACTAACAATTTACAAAATAATAGGTATTTGAACGTTCCGGAATAATATACCAATCGACCTACGCGTCATTTACTTGCGAACGGACGTGCAAATTCCAATAATAGTAGTTGGGAGTGCGTTATTTTATTTTTTATTAATACTCTTAGCCATTGCTGACTTTGATTGGAAAATATTGGTATTATTTTTATATTGCTATTATTGTAGCACGGACAAACATATTATCCAATAACATTTATTCTCCGTGGTAGTTTTTTTTTATTTTATAAAAGGTAAAAAAAAACGTTAAGCATTGTCGCGGCAAACAATAGCCATCGCTATGATAACAAATCAAATTCCGGATAACTTCCTGTGACAAATAAAAAACACACAATATAAATACCGACTATTTTCCTCTAATTTAACAATGTTATCTGTAGCAAAAATGTGTTCAAATATTTCAACACAGTTTTTCCGCGTTTTAATTGTGCGCTTTAACAAATAGAGTTCACAACGGTACACGATTATTTGTCGAGTTTATAATTATTATTATTATTATTATTATTATACATCTATGCGTTTCGTTGAACTATACTTAATATTGTTTTATTAATTTAAATATTCAAGAAATGGAATAAATTTGCATACAACTCTATGCAAATTTAGTCGGGCTGTTTTGGCAAAACCGAATCACATTAATTCGAATTGACTAAGTTAAAACAACGGAGAATTCATCATTAATATTTTAATTATGTCTATGTAATATCACCGAAATTTAATTAATTGCCGCAGGATTTCATACGCGTCAGAAGACTGGTCGATATTTGATATCAAACGGAAGTCGATGGCGAAATGTTCTAATGATTGTCGACATTAGCAGGAAAGCAATAAAAAAGATTGTGTTTGCAGGACGTTTATCTGAGAGCGCGGCGAAGGTTCGGTGCCGGTCTCTTTTAACAACAACAACACAGCTCCGGTGCGTTTAATTTTCGAACCTCACAAATACTGCAACTATGATGTCAACACTAAGTGGTAAACAACGTTTGGGGAGGTACACGAGTATATTAACTGCTGGAAAGTTCTCTGTTCTCGTCGACCGGCGTACACGGTCGAATGAATTGTTATATTGTATCAACTAATTAAATTCAGGGCTTCTTTTGACCGAGCCAAAATCCAAATGTGAAACTGCGGCGGTCTTGTAAAGGGATACCGTCGTCAGGATGGCCGACCTCTTGCAATAGTTTCAACAGTGAACTAGACCGAAAGTCGCACAAACCTCGGAAATCAATTTACAAGTGACACTTTCGGTAGTTGCCGGTGTTGTATTTCTGTTGTTCTCCTCGTTTACCATATCAATATAATAACAATAACGATATACGCAGCAGGTTCGGTACCAAACAATATTAATAATAGGACGTTTGGGTCTAATCAAATAGAACTGCCACTGGTGTGTAATCAAAACACAACGGTCCTTTTATTGTGCTCTCGTTTATCCGCGTCCCTTATTCCGGTGCCACAACGACAGTTTTAATTACAATCATATAATAATAACGATAATAATAGAAATACCAAAGTGTAGTTACCCGTCTGTTTGTTCCGACAGAGCAGGCGCCACTGCCTTGCGGTTTCGTGTATATAAATACGTGAATTATATGTAAATGTGACTCTGGCGGTACCAGTAATTAACGAGTGACTGAAAGGGATTAACAACGAGTACCAACAACCCTGCGACTTCACCTCTTCCTGTCCGCCACGGCTCTCTCAATACGAATTCAGTGTCAACTCGTCAATCTTCACGCGCCACTAGTCTCCGTCGTATTCCTCCATCGTTAAAACATTTTTGTCAATGAACTGTTGAATATTTACGGAGCCATTATTTTTGCGCCGAGTAAAATTCACTTCAATAGCAGCTATTGTACTCCGTAAAAAATCATAAATTCTTGACGCAATCTCAGGGAATTATCGTTATTTTTTTTAAATTTACATATCATTATTTTATCGTTCAAACCAACAGCAGTTTAATTGGTACGGCCTACAGGTTTTTAATTTTAGCGCGATTTGATCTCGGTAATTCGCGACTTTTTATCGTGTAAAATACATTTGTTTAACACCGTGTAACGGAGTTGCGAGAAATTGTTAATAAAAATATAGTAAAACGACGAATTTACATAATAATAAATGAATATGATTAGCTTAGTTGTTGTAATAGTCACCCTTATAGTCCATTGCGCGCACTCCGTACCGAATTTTATGGTAAAAATCGGTTTTTCACCAAAGTCTAATATGTGTTTATAACGAACATAATTAGTAATTCTTTATGCTTTTGAGCAAATTTGTTCAAAGTATTTAAATGACAAATTTTAGACTGGTATTTCTTGTTTAGGAGCTCAATACGACAATACCGCACAATCACACTATATCAGCAAGATGTCAAGAGCCAATAGGAACGTTTAAATTAAATGGGCCATCGATATTGAACTGTAGTAACGGCGTATGGTCTAGTCCCATTCCAAAATGTCAACCAACGACATTATTTACAAATTATACAGGTAAATAAATTTTAACTTGATTTATTAACAAATTCAATTTTTAATATTAAAATATGAGTTATCGTTTTCATTTATAAGTAATTTAATATTATTTGCTTAAATATTTGGATTGTTATAAACTTGAACGAGTTGAGTTTTCAAAAACATTTAATTTAGCCAAGAAAATAATAAAATGATTAACTGGTTGTTGTATAGGTTCACTTACTTAATAAACTCAACTGGATTTAATTACTATACTAATGTATTGAATTATGTAGAAAAAGTTTGTTATTTAGAAGCTATTAAACGATATTGGCTTAAGAATTATATGTTCTTCTTTTACATTAGCGAAAACTTTTCAAATTATCCACTACTTTGATTCCGATAGATTATTAATTATGTTTTGTTGGTACTTAGAAAAAAATCAAGTTTTTAAAATTTCTAACGAATGTCTAGATTGCGTGTTTTTTCAACATTATTACATTTTCTATGCAATAGATATATCCTTTGTAATTTCAAATTATTGTTGAAATGTATTCAAATTATATGATTTAGAACGCAATGCCCATTTAATTTTATATCTGTATATCTTGGAATATTAAATCATCCGTTTATAGCGTAATTGAATTTTAATATATTATAATGAACTATAGGGTTCAACGTTATCACGTAGATTACAACGTGATATCCTTTCTAAATTTGAACTCAGGAAGGCCTAAAATTACAATATTCACAAACATTTTAATTGAAATGTATGTATCTTTTTTTTGATGTGACATTGGAAAATACTGATTTTATTCAATCATAGCTCAATATGTGCTCAATTAAGTTTTAATCGGAATTTTTTGTAGAATTAAAAATATTTTTAAGGTTCGTGTTCTATTCGATGTGATATCATTTTCACTGGTACTATAAATATATATTATTGAAAGCATGAAAATGTGTGCCAACATTCTTGACGAAATTTACATTGTTTTAATTTGAATAAATTTATTATATTTTTTGTGTTTCTAAAGATAACTTTTTTTATTGTACGCTTATACGAATGAGTCGGCAGAAGGCTCAGGTTTAATTTTCTACTTGTACAGAAAAAGATTTCCATTTGACGACATGCTATTGTATATATTTTAAAATAACTTACTCGACTATGACATTTACACAGAAATTTAAACTAATTAAAAAATACTTCAAATATCTCGCCAACATTTCTTTGAAAAATAATTCCTAATTGTTTTAGCTTAATGTGTATGTGAATTTTTTATATTGCCGTTACTTTCTATTGTGCACATTTTTATCGGTATGTACGTATATAGTGGCGAATCGACATATTGTCTGGTTGGTTTTGACAACGGCACGAAAGTACTATAAAACCCTATCTCTTATTTTTCTCTTTCTTTGAAATGTCAGTTACACTTCTTGGCGTTATTTTCAAGTGATATAGCTGTTGTAAACATAACATTTTACGAACAAATAAAATCGTGTGGTCTTTTTATAATATAAGGCGATTTATACTTCATCAACCCATGTAGTTGTAAAAAAAAATTGCCTAACAAAAATTATAGCGTTTAATTACTATTCATAAAAAGACATACATGTTTTGCTATAGCGTTTGTTGTATTACTTTTCGTTACAGAAAACTCGCCACCAACTATTTTAGTGAGAGTACCTTCAGGTTCGGCTGCTGTAGATCAGAATGGCGGTTTAGTTGTTTTTCCTGGATCAATACTACATTTAGAATGTTTATATTTAAGAAGACACGGTGATCCAGTTTGGACTTGGACGTCTGAAGCAGAAACTTATCTCGCAGGTATACATTTTTTTAATGCAATTATGAAACTTTATTGTTATTAAAATAGGCATGAAAATCATTTACCAAAACGTTTTTGCTATTTTATATCGGAGAAACTCTCAATTTTGGATAAACCTAATTAATTAGAGAACCTTATAAATTTTAAATTACGGTAAATTATGCAGATTGTTGAAAAGTAGGGGAAAAGTTTCCGTTTTTTCTATAACTCACAAAAATTAACCTTAATCTTTTATATTGGACACACCGCATTTGCATATTCAAATTATACATTTCAAATATAATAATTTTTATTTTAAATAAATATTTTTAAATAGAATAACTAATTTCACTCACACAGTGGTAAAACATAGGAACTGCTTAAATCTCAAGTGTTTGGTTTCAACATTGTAGACTCGCAAAGCGAGTTAAGTTTGTTTGAGCATTGCGAGTTCTATCGGACAGTGTGGTTCCAGGGACTTTATAGCATTAAAAGCGTGCGCTATTTCAACTCACTCACTTGCCGAGTTCTTCGTCCAGTTCGTAATACGTCCGTAAGCTGTCCATCGCGCAACACGTTAGACACGCCAATTTTTGATAGTAACGGTTTAAGTATTATAATGAAAATACAAATCCAATTAGATATTGCACTTGAGCACTCGTGATGGACCGACATGATCGTGTCGACAACGTCGAATAAGCGCGTTGGCGAACAGCGGGACGGGAAGGGAAATATTTTGTCTTATATTGTGTCCAGTGTCCCAAAAACACACCCGTTGTAATCCCGTTAATCGCAAATGGACTTTATTGATACTGATGTATCAATCGCAATAATACTCTTATTGAACAATGTGTAGATTTGACACAAAGCCCAACTTTTGCACATTTGTTAGAGAAGAAATACCGTTTGTTTACTTATGGCGTAGGTTGACATTTTTAGTGTTTAACATAAAAAAGGTTAATAAGTAAAACGTACGTTAGATATTGAATAAATGATTAACATTGTACATCCAGTCAGAGTCACCAATTGTATTTTGTGTCCCGCACGAGGTGTGTTTATTGTTGTGGACTGTATTGACTTTTTATTTTGCTGGACGGATCTAATAAGTTTCTTAAAATATTAATAAATTGCACAATAATAATTGTGAAATGAGGATTTTATATCTTTAAGATGTTACTAGAAGTGTTAACAAATGCACAGAATATTATTAAAAAAAAAACCTATTTTAACTAAAAAAAAAATACTAGTTAATTTTTATAATTCTTATTTAGGGGAGTTTACATACGAGTAATTCAGTGGTCGATAAATTTTTAGGGAAGTTTATTGGAATTTTTTTAATTATTATCAAAGTATTTATGACGCTGATTCCGAATCAGCCATTAATTTTTAGTATATTGATAAAGATTTAACAAAAATTGAGATCAATTCATCAAGTTTAATCTTTTCATATAGTTTTAAAGCGGAATTTTAGATTGAGAAAAAAAAAATCTAAGCTAAATTATTCAGTATAATTTTTTCTTAAATAATAAAAAAATTAAACCCAATTATAATAATTATATTATAAGAATTTCAAAAACATTAATTTTATATTAATTTTACCTACTAATATGAAAATGATTGCTGTTAATAGTACGAAATATAGTTAAGCTCAAAATATTTTAATCATGACATATGTTAGTGTATTTAAATTCTATGTATTTGTGATAATTTAATTAATAAAATAAAATTACTTCAATTAGTTAAATAAAAATTGTTTAGATGTAATTTTTGACAGAAACTTTTCATTAAATTTTGTAGTTTTTAAAGTCATAACTTTCATTTAAGTAGGTAAAATTTATTTAGAATTAATGTTTTTAAAAACCTTACCGTATTATCTATTAGTTTATATCAAATTTATGATTGTGGGTAAACTTAAAAGAAATTATGTCGATTATTTTAGTATTATTTTTGAAAAGTAATTAAACATTGCTTGAAATGTTTACGGATGTATCCACGTTTTCAGTTATGAGCTGAACTCGTTTCAAAGTCCATTTTCAGGGCGATAGTTACAGGCCTCGTGGTTGTAACTATACTGTCGGCTTAGCTTGTTCATGATATGTTTTTATATTAGTTGATAACTGATAAGTTTTTTACTTATTTAGAATGTGTTATTGTTGAAAAACTTACTTAATTATTATAAATTCGGTATTAAAGTATATCTAACAAAATATTTAATATTGTAATGATGAGAATATATACAAACAACAATCATTAAAAATACATTTTATTTATACCATATAATGAACTTAAATTGACAATTATGTAATACTATTTTGTTCTTAATGTCTAACTATATCGTTACAATTTTAGTTAATTTTTCTAAATATTTAGTCACTTAAATCACTTTATTCAACTGTGCCAACTACTTGCAGACTTGTTTTAAACATGAACTTATTTTTGAATTATTTAGGAAAAAAATTATCAAAGTAATATATTAACATTATCAAAGTCAATCACATATATTATAGTTCTGCATAACATATTTTCAACAAAAGTAATAGGCAAGCGAAAAACAAAATGTTATTTTCTATGGATTTTACCATTAGGACAAAAAGGCAACCAGCTTCTTAATCTTGTCTGTAGAAACTTTCGAAATCTTCAAATCCTTTGTAGGTTTTCAACCCTTATTAATTTTCAACCTTATAAATCTTGGCAGCAAAAATAACAAGAGGAACAGGGTAGCTTAAACTTATGTGACAGTGCTTTGAGTAAGAGCTTAAGACCAAGGCGTCAATTAACTAAGAAGGAAGTTCAATTAGTCACAGTAATCCTTCAGTTTCGATTTTAATCTGAGGCTTTAACTCCTAGACCAAAAATCCAATATTTCAAAGATAAAATAATTAATATTTTATAATTTCATACATAATAATAATTAATAATTTGTCAACTTGCCGTGTTGCATGTAAATACTCCAGCCTTTTTTATCGTGAATAATTGTGCACAGAGTCGACAGATATTTTTAAAGTTTGTTTTAAAAGATTAATACTAAATAATTATTCTGTTTTGTATTTTATTTATATTTATTGTAGCCAATTAATAAGAATATTTATTTAAGGCTTCTTTTCTTTTGATGTATGCCTGTAAAACTTATAAGATTTGCATATGACTGGTTAATACATTTCACTTTTCTTGTTTTTCGTATATCTTGTATAGCGTAAAAAAATCTTATTACGCTTATAATTGGTACACGTATAAAATTAAACTTTTAAACTTTCTTAATTTGATGTTGGATAGTGTAGTACTTCTTAATATTAAACGGCAAATCAATACTCATTTTAAACTTACCAATATGGACGAGAGAATAGTAGGGAAAATTAAACAACACGTGAGGTTATTATGATGGTTCCGGTGGTTTTTATAATTGTGGGTTCGTTATTCTTGATAAAGTCCTTTTCTTTTACGGCATTTAGGCGCCAGAATTCTACAACTACTCTCTAACACAGTCCCTTAGTAATGTGCAAATGTGTACAGCTATATGAGAATATCGGGTAACTTCTAAACGAAACTCATAACCTTTTTCTGTATAGCAGCGAATAATGCATTTACTTTTAGACAGTCTCGAGCCTTTGGAAAATGATACGGTAATGTAAGTTTGAGGGATTTTACATTAGTATAACAAGCTGGACAGCGTCAACAAAGGGAATATTAGGTCCAAAAAGATGACGGTAAATTCAATTGTAGTTGAGATTTCAAAGTTATTAAAGGGGTTACGGTAAACTAACAAAAGAATGGACAAGAAGAAGTATAATGAAATTATAATTATGCTAAATGATTCCCTTTAATTCAAGAATAGATAAACTGTTGTATTAACTATAAAACGGAGTTCAATTTCCACCTCTTATAATTTTTTAGAATTCAAGTTGAAAAACTAAAAAAAATTATTACTTAACTAAGTTTAACGAAAACCTTCAAAAGTGTTTATGCGATATATATTTATATATATTTATGCAATATGTAATATATGCAAAATGAGAATTTTTACACAAAAATAGCATTTTGTAGCCATTTTCATCATAAAGACAAAATAAAGTCCGAGATTTTTTTTTTTCATAATAAAGTTCATTGCATTAGCTTTAATTTAAGATACATATATAACTGTCAAACTTTCCGGAACACTTTCAAAAGTTAAGTTGTAAAAGTTAATTTTTTGTGAAAAAGTTGTCATTTTGAATCCCCCCCTGTAGGCAGGTAAAAGGTCAGATTAATGAAAAAAATATTTGGTCATTTTTGAAAAAGTTATAGTAGTTTTAAGTAAGAAAAATTGAAAAAATGTCGGAAATTAGCGATTTTTAAATTTGTAATTTTCTTGGAGATTTCCCCCATTTACGGGAAATTACGAGGGAAATTTTTTCAATTTATGAGTGTAATGTCTTCGACGAGATACGATTTGTGATCTTTTGACGTATCATTGAAAGAAATTGATTCAGTGAGAGCTGAGAAAAAGTGGTACAGACACTCAAAAAAAAAAACATCATAGTAAAATTAATACCTTCTCAGCTTTGCATCGAATCTAAAAAAACATAAAATTTTTATCATATATAAGAAATACAATAATATATTTGAAATTTACCTGTTTCCTTACTTAGTGAACACTTTGTATAGTATTTTCGTAAAAAAATATAATTTAACTATTATATGAGGTATAAATTATATAAAAAAATGTTTATTATACATTAACATTACAACAAGAGTCATCTAAAGAACTATATCTCAATGTGATGTGAATAGTACAGTTTTGGAGATATTATTTAGGGAAAAAATAAAATAAATCATTTTCATGAATTATATCATACCTGTAATAGGAAAAGGTATAATTTAAATTATGATTAAAGATGGATGCATTTCATATACCCACGTCACATAAATTCACTTGGTATATTAAAATGGAAAATGTTGTAATACCATATTTATTTTTTGTATTTTTTTTTATGTTCTTTCCGAAAGTTCCAAATAAATTGAGTTTTTCTTTCGATATCTCTAT